AAAACTTTTTTTCTCTTTTTTAGACAGTGTGTGACATGCTGGAGGCAAGTATGTTCGGTTACCATGAGGTTGAGGAGCTAATTGTTCTCTTATACCCATTTCAACCATGTCCAAACGAGCATTGACATCATCTTTTGTTTTTCCTTGAATGTTAAGGAGCGTTCCAATGATACTGTCACACACATTTTTCTCTACATGCATGACATCTATACAATGCCTCACATCAAGAACCCTCCAATATGGAAGAACAAAAAGGATTGACATTTTCTTCCATATACCTGTGGCTTTCTTTTGCGTCTTTCCAAACTCAAACAAAATCGTATTTGCTCGTTGATATACTTCTTCCCCACTTAAAGGTGTTGGGGCTGCATCATTTTCTTGACACCCGTTAAATGATTTTTTTAATTTACAATATGAATGGTTTGAAGGAAGAAATCTTCGGTGTCCAAGGTACACTGTTTTCCTTCCATGTTGTAGTTGATAGTGACATGTGTCTTCTTCACATATCGGGCAAGCTTTATGTCCCTTTGTGCTGTAGCCACTCAAATTACCATATGCTGGAAAGTCATTAATTGTACAAAATAGCATTGCACGCAACTTGAATAAATCACATGTGTACCCATCAAACACATCAACACCTTCCTCCCACAACATCTTTAACTCTTCAACCAATGGGCTTAAAAAAACATCAATGTCATTTCCAGGTTGTCTGGGACCCGAGATCATCAAAGATAGCATCAAGTACTTACGTTTCATACACAACCACGGAGGTAAGTTGTAAATAACTAACACCACAGACCATGAACTATGTTTACTGCTTAAATTTCCATATGGATTCATTCCATCTGTAGCAAGTCCAAACCTAATGTTTCTTGGATCATTACCAAAATTCTGGAAGATGGAATTAATTTTTTTCCATTACAATCCATCTGCCGGATGCCTCAATTGACCATCATTAATACGACTATCTGCATGTCATCTAGTGAGCTTTGCATCATTTCCATTAGTGAATAATCGTTTCAACCTTGGAACAATGGGAAGATACCATAACACTTTTGCCGGGGTACCTTTCATTACATTATTGTCAGAATCACCATCCTTCTTCTTGTATCGTGATTCCCCGCATTGTGGACATTCGTGAAAGTTCTCAAACTCTTTCCTGTACAACACACAATCATTCGGACATGCATGAATTTTTTGGTACTCCATACCCATTGGACACAATATCTTCTTAGCATCATAATTGCGGGTTGGCAATGTGTTACCTTCAGGGAGCATGTTACTCAACAACTCAAGCAATTCTGTGAAACTTTTATCAGTCCACTCATTCTTTGCCTTCACATTGAACAATTTTAGTACCATCGACAATCGTGTGAACTTAGTATAATTTGTATACAAAGGCTTTTTTGCATCATTGGACAACTTCTCGTACACATGTGTATGTTGGAAGACATCTTGTCCAAGCTCACGAATCATTCCTCCAGCTGATCATCCATCTCTAGATCAACTTCTTCTTTGTCTTCTACACTTGGCATGTTTAATAATTCACCATGTCATGTCCACTTTATGTAACTCTTTAGGAAACCATCACAAAGAACATGTTCCCGAATAACTTCAGTCGGTAATCTTCACTCATTCAAGCAGTTAACACACGGGCAATAGAATCTTCCATCATTATCCGGAATATTCATCTTAGCAAATTCAAGAAATTGTTCTACTCCCCTCTCATATTCATTTGTTGTTCGTCTATAATTGATCCAATTCCGATCCATTGTTATCTTCTGTCACATAACACAACATATAAGTATAGTTTGAGGATGATAACATCCAACATGTTTTGCTGAAATTGCGATGTCACGTGAATGGATATTTTAATCTTTCAATAGAAAGTTCTGTCCTACAATGGATCATTTCATGATTGACTCCAATCAAGGCTAACCGTATTGTCTCACATTAGGGTGAGCATAAGCGATGATAGTTTTCACTTAAAATGAAATAACTACATTATAATACAAATCTAATTTTCAAAATCAAAATCATGAAAGAATGCCTACAGAAACACATTCAAATGACTAAACTACTTACAATACGTCTCTAAATTAGCTAAAGGCACCCGTGATCTTTTCATCTCTTGACAACATTATTACATACCAGATTCAAAACTGTAAACCTACAATGGCTAAAGCAAGCACGAAAACTTACCTCTTGAAGACCTACAGAGGTGGTAGGTGGCGTGACGTGCAGAGCTGGGTGGGGAGAAACGTACACAGGCAACGGGCACCAATGACAGTAGCAGCAGGCGGCACGACGTACAGAGTTGGCAGGTGGCGTAACGAGCAGAGCTGGGTGGGGAGAAACGTACACAGGCGATGACGTTCGTAGAAGAGACAGAGAGAACGGGGAACTCTGCTATGAGTGAAGTGATGAAATGGAACGTCACGGCAGGCGTAAAATAGAAGATACTATGTCGGTTGTCCTAACACCCGTCATCAAATACACTTTCTATGTCGGGTAAATTTTAATCGACATATGTCGGGTAAATTTTAACCGACATAGAAAGTGAACTTTCCATGTCGGTTAAATTTTACCCGACATAGAAAGTGAACTTTCCACTTACCATGTCGGTTACCTATTACCCGACAAAAAAAATTTATAATTTTATTACAAAATTACCACCGCGCTACATACTATGACGGGTGGACTACGACCGTGATAAAAACTCGTCATAGAATGCTATTTTTCACTAGTGTATATTTGACTTAAATTCAATCATGGTATTATCTTATATAATAAACAATTAAACGTGGACGTGAACTTAGCATATGGAATTGTTTAGTGAGAAAACACCTCTACAAAACTTAGCATATCGAAATATAATTGATAAGGACGAGGTGATGTGTAACGTGCAAGCTCCATTATCCATGACATCAAGTGGAGGCAAGTGGCAAGGTTGTGGCAATTATCTATAAATTGCTGAATGGTACTGAATTTTTTTGTCCTTCATTCATGTGTGTCTATGGAAGTACAATGGATTTACCTTTGGTGATGAGTTTGGTAACTAATGTTAAATATGTTTCGGACTAATGATACTCTTTAACCTTTTTATATACGTGTTTAATTAACTATTTTCTTATAAAAATATAATATAAAAAATATTAATTATTCTTATTATATTACCATAAAATGATTGTGATTATATGTTGGGCGTGAAAGTATCATTATCCATGTTATCAAAGTTGTCCATGAAGTGCTTAATTAATTTACTAATTTCTATTAACTATAATTAATATTGTGTTTTCAATAACACGTCTTGGTGGTGACTTCCTTTTCATTGAGTTTTTTTTTATTGTTATTCTAAAAATGTTGTTCATGTAGAAGTTTTGCAAAGAGGAAAGTTATTACATAATTTACCACTATCAAGTCATTTATCGTATTTGACGACACTCGAATAAAAGGGAAACAATTTAGGGTTAGGTTTTAAGAATTAATTTGATTGGAAATAGAAAACAGAAAAAATAAAAGATACCATAGGCGCCACAAATAAGAATATTTGATAAGCCAAGAAGGATCGACACAAGAATTGGATAATTCTTGATAAGATAAAATGATGCAAGGAAGAATCCTAGCAGACCAACAACTCACAAAGTAATCTGAATATTACGTGCGTCCCTTCTGAATTCCCAAATGTTTAATACAACTTAAGTTTATGAGTTTGTCTCATTGCAGGAAATAAAGATAAATTAAAATCCTAATATCCCAAGCAAAGTTAAGTTAGCTAGATGGTTCAGTGAAGACATTATAAGTTTTGGATCTTGGATTCAAATCTCCACTGTAGCAAATAAAATAATAATAAAAAAAAAACTAAATCTTTTAGGTGGGCCTTTAGGAAATTAGTCACTTTGTATTTCAATGTCTGTGTTTTTCTGAGTCTGTCTCTTGTCATAGGTCACCTAAGTCTTGGATTGAATTTTGGTTTTGATATTTCTCGTTATGGGTTCGGGCCTTTATGTCCACATCAAGTATCTATAAATAATAATATGAGAAGATAATAATAATGGTTAAATATATTTTAATTATTATATTTTGTAAAAATTGATTTCATCTTTTTATAAAATTTTAAAATATATAAATTTAATCATTTAATAAATTTTATAACAGTAAAAAATATTAATAAATATCAAATTTAGATATAAAAAATTATTAATATCACACATAGTCTTTTTTTTATTAACTCTATTTAAATGAAAAATCATAATTAAGTATTAAATTTAAGTTTAAAAGAATAAAACTGACCAATTTAAAAGCATAAAGATAAAAATTAAAAAAAGACAAAAAATATATTATGACACTTATTCTTATTTTTTTTTATCATAGCATTAATAATTTATTTCCTCGTTGTGTGTGAAGAGAGTGTTCATGAAATATTTACTTTTTATATTGCCTTGTACGCGAACAGAACACCTTCGAAAATTGCATTGCATGAAGGCAACATGAAGTACATGCATGGACAACGGAGCGAACAGTGCCTTACAATCCAATCCTAATGGAGCACAATAAAATTGAAAAAGAAAGCCCATTCTAAACAATAATTAAACACTAATGAAATATATGGAAAATTTTCTCTTATTTTATATTTTTGAAGTGCTCGTCCCTTTCGTGGCTTTCTCTTCTTAGATCCTATAAAAAAGACGTATACGGGTCTGTCAGTTCATGTATAAATCCTTAGCAAAATCCAATAAATAAAGATTTTACATGAAAAAGCTTATAGTAGAGATTAAAGGATGCTTCATATACATAACATGCACAGGAGGATTAGAGAAGAGAAATATTTTACCATAACCTTAATGAAGAGTTATATTTTCACACCCTCACAAGGCGAACTAGATTCGAGAAAGATAGAGTTGAGAAAAGGAGAGAAAATGATAAATCATGTTTGAAGAATATAAAAAGTGAGGTAAAAAAAAAAGTTTAACATTAAACATATTATACGTCTGGTTGAAATGTTGAATTGTAACGTAGATTATGAAAGATTACCATATGGTGTAATAGCAAAGCACTACTTAGTGGTGATAAGGTGGAGGAGGGGGTGACTTGTGTGGATAAGACGTAGAGAGTGGTGGAGGAGGGGAAGGGTATTTGTATGGCTTCTTAGGAGGGGGTGGAGGAGAGTGGTAAACCGGGTGAGGGGAAGGATAGTTATTGTGCACTGGAGGTGGAGGAGATGGGTATTTGTATGGCTTTTTATGTGGAGGTGGGGGTGGTGAGTGACGTGGGTGAGGTGAAGGGTACTTGCGCACTGGTGGTGGTGGAGATGTGTACTTGTATGTTTTGTTTTTAGGTGGTGGTGGAGGAGAGTGGTAGACTGGATGATGAGGGGGTGGGTGCTTGTGCACTATTGGAGGTGGTGGTGATGGGTATTTGTAGGGCTTCTTTGGAGGTGGTGGGGGAGACTGGTACTTGTAAGGGGCTGGTGGTGGAGATGGATATTGATGAGGCTTCTTGTAAGGAGGTGGTGGTGGTGGAGATACATACTGGTTTCCTGAAATTTCAGATGGGAGACTGAAAAAGATTAGGGCCAATGCAAGAGTGAGAGAGGGAGAAGCAGGGGCCATTAGAGACCCTATTTTTCTTTAAGTTGGTTTTGGTTATAATGAGAACGCTAAGCAACCCCATTTTATAGTTTGTTTCTATATATACAATTTAGGTCCAATCACCTATACATGCATAATAATGCATGCATATATGTAGTTTAATTGGAATTACCATTTGTTGTTGGTTTTAGGAGCAAAGCGTCCCAAAGCGTTTTGGAACGGTTGTGACCCAAAGTGTTTATGGAACGTTGAGAGAGTATCTAGGGCCACAAATACGACGGCACCTTTAGTTTTTCTTTACCTCCAACAAAATAGCATAATATATTTAATTATCGTTGGCCACTTTTAATCTCCATCCCCAACTATATTTGATAGTTTTGAGAATCTTGCATGGTTTAGATCTGTTTTACACAACAAATAAGTGTGTTAACGTATTAGATTTCGAACATTGATGAGTAAATATTCATTTGCAGTTTTCAATTAAAAAGAAAATGAAATGTCTCCTTGTAAGTGAAATTGGTTTGCAACATATATTCACATTTTTTAGGATGTAACGACAGTGATTTTTACCCATCCGAGAAATTTCGTCATGAACTTTTCAAAGCTCTCAAGTACCACTGCGATATATATATATATATATATATATATATATATATATATATATATATATATATATATATATATATATATATATATATATATATATATATATATATATATATATTATAGAAACTATGCATGCATGCAGAAGAATAACTGGAAAACGACGTACTTACGTGTAAAATATGAAAGAATGTATTTATACAAAGTACAGAAACAGAAATAACAGAAACTGTAACGTAAAACAGTATTTTAGTTTGTTTGACTTATTTCTAACACACCCCCTTAAGTCAAACAGGTTTTACAATTCTAATGGATTGTCTCAGATACCTAAACCTCTCCCCTTTTAATGCTTTGGTGAAGATATCTGCCAACTGAACCTCAGATTTACAGTAAACAATTTCAAGCTTCTCTTGATTGACTTGCTCCCTCAAAAAATGGAACCTGGTTTCAATGTGTTTGCTTCTACCATGAGCATTAGGATGTTTTGCTAAGTCTATAGCAGATTTATTGTCCACCATTAATTTTGGACAGCAATTCATCTTCACTTTTAACTCTTCTAAGAGCATTGCTAACCAAGCAGCTTGGCACGCAGCTTGAGAAGCAGAAATGTACTCTGCTTCACAGGAAGAAAGAGCTACAACCGGTTCTTTCACGGAATGCCATGAGACAGGTGACCCGCAGAGGAAAAATATGTAACCCGCAGTGGACTTCCTATCAATCTGATCTCCACACCAATCAACGATCTCGCGTACCCCTTCAATTCAACACTTCCTTCGCACCCTTTGTCTCGTAAACAAGCAAGCCAAGGTTCTTTGTCCCTTGCACATACCGCATGATACGTTTCACAAGCATTCAAGTGGGTTTGTTTAGGTTCCTGCATGAATCTACTCACTATTCCCACTCGCAAAACTCAGGTCGAGTCTTGTACAACACAAATACCTCAAGCACCCAACCATTTTCCTCGAATTCCGATTCATCCACAGGTTCCTCATCTTCATTCTTTCCCAACTTCAACCCTGTTTCCATCGGTGTAGCTGCTGTGTTGCAGTCTTGAAGTTTGAACCTGCTCAACAAGTCTTTCGCATATTTTGCCTGGTGCATTAACATTTCATGCTCTGTCTGTATGAATTCAATTCCCAAAAAATAATTGAGTTCCCCCAAGTCGCTCATTTCAAACTCAGTGGTCATCTGATGTTTGAACTGATTGATATATTCCGCTTTACTTCCTGTAACAAGCATGTCATCTACGTAGAGGCATACAAGTAATTTTTCTTCTTGACCATTGTTGATCCAGTACTTCACATATAAGCCTTGCTCCGTGGTGCATCTTTCAAAACCAATCTGATGCATAAACTGATCAATTCTTTTGTTCCAAGCACGTGGGGCTTGCTTCAAGCCATAAAGAGCTTTGATTAACTTGTAAACTTTCAGTTTATCATCCTTAACCTCAAATTCTGGCGGTTGAGTTACGTATACTTCTTCTTCAAGCACTCCATTTAAAAAAGCTGCTTTTACATCTAGCTGATGCATTCTCCACTTGTTTATTGTTGCAATGGCGATAATTACTCGGATTGAATCAAGTCTAGCAACGGGTGCATATATTTCTCCAAAATCAGTCCCAGCCTTTTGCAAATATCCTTTAGCCACTAACCTGGCTTTATGCCTTATCACTTCTCCCTTGGGATTTACTTTCACCTTGAATACCCACTTCAGTGCTATGGGCCTTTTATGCGGTGGAAGATTAACCAATCTCCACGTTCCATTACGTTCAATGGACTTTATCTCCTCACACATCGCTTTTCTCCATTTCTCATCACGCATAGCATCCTCAAACTCCACGGGCTCCGCCTCTGCTGCCAATGCAAAATGCACTGGGTTCCCTTCTTCAGTAACAACACCAAACATTTCATAATCTCTGAAACGAGTTGGTTGTTGTCCTTGACGCTGGGATCTTCGAAGCTGCTGAACATCTTCTTCGGGTTCAATCTCACCGAATCCGCTACATCATCGTGTTCTAGCGCAATAATTGGGACCACCTCTGCCGCTTTATTTGTCTCCCATTCCCAACCGAAGCTTCATCAAAGACTACATTCCCGCCGATAGCTACACTCTTGGTTTCGGGGTTAAACAGCCTTATACCCTCCAAGTAGTGTGATAACCAATCATCACCATAGGCTTTCCTTTGTCGTCTAATTTGGTTCGCTGCACTTCAGGCACTTTATGAAAACACAAGGAACCAAAAACTCGCAGATGCTTGACATCTGGCTTCTGTTTTGACCATGCTTCTTCTGGTGTAACTCCCTCCAACCTCTTCGTAGGTGTGCGATTTAGAATGTAAGTTGCTGTTGCAATTGCTTCTCCCCACATATACATAGGCACGTTTTTACTTTTGAGCATACATCGAGCCATGTTGAGAAGAGTTCTATTTCTCCTCTCAGCGGTTCCATTATGTTGCGGTGTGTGAGGCGGTGTAACCTCGTGTGTGATTCCCATTTCGGCCAGGAAGTTTTGAAACTCCAGTGAGTTGTACTCACCCCTCCATCGACCGTAGTCGCCGTATCATGCACCCATTCGTTTTTCAGCCGAGATTCTTGAACCTCCCGAATGTGTCGGAGACCTCGTTTTTTCGCTTTAGGCGTAACGTCCATAACTTCCCGGTGTAATCGTCCGTGAAGGTCACAAAGTATCGACTACCCCCAGGTGTTTCAACGAGCAATGGTCCGCAAAGATCGAATATACCAATTCTAACTCCTTCGTTGTTTTGGTGGCAACGAATTTGCCGAACTTACTTTTCGTTTGCTTGCATTGCACACAGCTCATGACACGCTTCTTCCGGCACGTACACGTGAGGCATCCCTTCAACCATTCCTTTAACGCTCAGTTCACTCAAATTTTTGAAGTTCAAGTGACCAAAGCGTAAGTGCCACGACCACTCTTCTCTCGTTCACCGCAACTGCAAAACACTTATGGTTTAACGTTGTTATTTTTACCTTGAACGTACGATTGGATGATAGTGCAAGCACAAATGACAAGCTTCTTTGTTTGATCATAGACCCGTAGGAAATTCTCCTCCGTAACCATCTTGAACCCTTTCGCATTAACCGGCCAAGACTTAGTAAGTTGGTTCGTAACCCAGTGGACATACAGGACGTCGTCAACTATAACTTCTTCTCCTTCGAGGCTTCTTAACACGACTTGTCCATTTCCTTCGCATGCAAACAACTTGTCGTCTCGCAAATCGCACCCGTTCTCGAGTCTCATTACTCAATTTCACAAACCACTCCCTCCGGCCAATCATATGGGTAGAACACCCGAATCAAGATACCATGCATCATCATCATTATCTTCGTTCTTGGTCTTAACCATGAGTAAAACAGCTTCAGAATCGGACGACTCTTCTTGTGCGAGATTTGCCTGAGACTGAGACTTGGGTTTGTTTTTCGCTCCATCACCATGCCAGCAGTCGCGTGCGAAGTGACCATACTTCTGGCAGTTATAGCATTTCACTCGCTTTTTGTTAAACACCTTCTCTTTACTCACATTCCCGCCCTGTTTTGATTCACCTTCTCTCGACTCTGGATCAATCTTCTTATTGGATTTGTAACCCTTCTTGGTATATTTCTTTGGCTTTGATGATGTTCTTGCTTGAAGAACCAACTCCTGATACGATTTGCGATCACTCATGCGCAGTTCATGAGCCTCCAACGAGTGCTGTAATTCTTGAATGCTCAGCTTGTCGATGTCCTTTGTTTCTTCAATTGTGATAACAAGATGATCGAACTTTAGATGCAAAGAACGAAGAATCTTGTTTACCACGTGTTCTTGAGACAATGTCTCGTTACAGTTTTTCATGGCGTTAACCACACTCTGAACTTTGTTGAAGTAACTCGCCACAGATTCGTTGTCCTCCATTATCAAGAACTCAAAGCTTCTACGTAGGGCCTGCAACTTCACTCGCTTGTGTTTGTCACTATCTCCATAAGTCTTGACAAGAATCTCCCATATTTCTTTAGCCGTTTCAGCCATTGAAATTTTGTTAAAGATCTCAGAACTCACACATTGATATAACAAATACCTGGCTTTGCTATCCATCTTCTGCATCTGTTTGTAATTCCTCTTTTCTTCGTCTGATGCCTTGCTGCCGGGATCAATGACGCCATCTTCGATCACTTCAGCCATATCTTGGAACCCAAAGACCGCATGCATTTTGATCTTCCAGTCATCAAAACAGCTTCCATCAAACATGGGTAACCCTCCAGGAATGAATCCACTCAGTCCAGCCATGATTTTGAACTTCACACGTACGTGCTTCACAAAGAGCACCCTGACACGCCACACACAGCAAAGACTGGAAATCCCTTCACTAAAC